ACCGCTACATGTTTGGTAACCTCCAGTGTCTTTGCTTGTCCTTTCCCACGTCATTCCCAGTCAAAGATAAATAATTGTGGTAATGCGCGCTACAATATGAGCTGTCAGTACTTTTAGTAATTTTTGTTGTCTTGTTTGAAAATTATGCTTAGCCTACAACTAACATAATTCACACAAGAACTGTGTTGCGATGCACGCTGAACATAACTGAAAATAATTTTATTGATTCAAAATGCCTATTAGTAGACATTTCCATATTTACTCTCACTTTTTGTTGGAATATAAGAATTTCTGATTATAAACAAAATGAAACGGAAAAGGGTTACCAGCTGTAATGACATTCGACTGAATGACTTACCATTTTCAAAATAAATGAATTCAACACAAACTTTTATAGGTTGTTATACAGGGTATTCCAATACCTTGGACCAATTTTAAATGTGAATTAAGTTTAAGCGTCTAATGATTTTTTTCTTTTTCTTTTAGATTTAACAACTTAAGTCTTTGGCAATTTCAACCGTAAGAAGATTAACAATCAAACAACAAATCATTAGACGCTTAAACTTAATTCCCATTCAAAATCGGTCCAAGTTATTGAAACACCCTATATAACATAACTCAGAAAAAAAGGAAAGGTCCTTTGATTCAAGTGTGGGCTAAGAAATATCCCAGTGGCTGAAGAAGGAAAAAGAGGGAGAGGTTTGAATCCTTTCCTTTTACATTGCTTTTACACTGCCACATGGTAGGCATTTAGAGAAGTCTGGTAAGGTTTGTGGAATGCTTAAAAAAAAAAAATAACACTGTAACGGGATCGCTCGGAAGAAAGATTTATTCTCTCATTTATGGTGGTTTAATTAAATATCTCTGGAAAATAGCATGTGAACAATACTTGGAAAAGGCCAGGTGAATACATATGAAAAAAAAATACATTTCGATTAAATATCAACCAAATTTACGTCCGGTGCTGCGGTGTAGTTAAGTAATTAAAAATAATGACTCCAATTGGATTAAAGAGTCAGGACTTATTACCACGTGTTACACGTTACAGTGGAAAGAGTAGATGAAGAACTGGGAGTAGGAAGTATGGTATCCTCTGAAGCGCGCCAAAATCAAACTCAGCTTGGAGGTAGGGAAGATGGCGACCATGTTGAAGACCTATTTTTCATAAAAATATATGGAAATAGTTTTATGTCGTAAAATGTATATACAACAGCGTAAGTACCGTTAATATCCAGCGGTCAAATAACTACAAAAATGCGTATAGCTGAAATTTGTCACTACCACGACGAAAAGCAGCCTATAAAAAGAGTGTGTCTGAAAAAAAAAAAAAAAAAAAATTGGGGTATAAACATTATGAAAGTGTAAAACTAGGTTTTAATACCAGCAATACATTTTGGAAAATATATATATAAATTACCAGCATTAAAAATCTTGTCGGCATTAAATAACCCATTGAGGTTGATATGCCGTAAAACAAATCCAAATCTTTTTTATTTTATTATTGTTTGGAATTCAGACGTTCAAATTTTTAATATAAAAAAACGGGACGACCAAATTTCTTGCATACTCAAGTTTTCCATGGTGACAACATTTATCTATTGTTATTTTATCAAATCAACTATAAAACCAATCATTTTCACTGTCTCCCGGTTTAAATATTGACTTCATTTATAAAATGATTTGACTTTCTTGATTTATAATTCTTTAAATTTATACAATGGTTTATATCGTATTTTACAAGTACTCAGGTGGACTTCAAAAAGTTCCTGTACTATCACCAAAGTTAAGAAACATCAAGCCTGGTCAGTACTTGGATGGTGTAATGGATAATAGCTTGGAATTGTTAATCGGAGAGCAGAGTTCCAATTCCAACTGTGTTTGTTATATTCATTTATGCGAAAATACAATTGAGAAAGGTTTGACTCCCCTTGCTCTCCCCACAGCTGTAAGTTAATTAAGTCTTGTATCACTAAACCATTATTACCAAAAAAAAAAAAAAAAAAAAAAAAAAAAAAAATCTTACATAACTTCTTTAAATAAGCTGCAAAGGGTTGATAACCCTTACGGATCAATCGATTTTGCTGCTCCAGTGTAACCCGGATATAAGAGACCCTGATATAAGAGAAACCCGGCTATAAGAGAGATTTTCTATGGTCCCAAATTAGAGCTTGTGTTAATGTATATAAAATAGACCAAACCCGGATATAAGAGAAACCCAGATATAAGAGACTTCGTCTCCGGTCCCGACAACTCTCTTATATCCGGGTTACACTGTAATAAAAATTATTTTTTCTGCATAAATTTCGGCTCTTGGTAGTTTGGAGAAGGGTTGAAGGTAATAAAATAATTTACTGAAACCTGAACCTTGCCAGCCTGGTGCAAAGCTCCTCCACCAAGGAGTGGAGGGGGTCAATTTAAGGTAAAAGAAAAGGAAAGAAAAAGAGAAGTGTTTTTTTATTTGTTTTGTTTTTTTTCTTCCTCTCTCCTACAATAAATTACTTTGATAAACGTGATTTTTTAAAAAGTGGATACTCAAGGCGGTTGAAATCTGAAGTCCGTGTGTTGAACGCCAAAATTTTTCAGGTAGATTTTAGCCAACCTTTGGCTGAAAAAATTCCTGCAATACGATCATCGTTATAAGTAGTAGACGCGACCACCGAGAAGTAGGAGACGGATGCTAGAAGACTGGATGACGCAGTTCCTTCCAAAAACATCTGAATTCTGAAAAGCCACTCTTCAAGAAAGTCGTGACAACCAAATTGTCGTTTTCATGACAGAATCAAGTCTTATTCCCCCCCCGCCTGATTATTGTAAGAAAATGAAACAATATACAAAAACTAACGTTTATTAAATAATTGGCAAAAGCGTAGCTAGAGATTCAAACCTGAACTTAACCAAAGATTTACCAATATAATCCAAGTGATATTCAAACGGTGGCTGGCTGCTCGTATCCGAGTATGCCTGTCTACTAGGGTGGCTAGCCAATCCCTGTTGCAGATACCGGCTCAGGCACATTTGTGTGTGTTCAACACCCACAGTGGTTTATACTGCAACTATGCAGAGCAGACCTTAGTTACAGTTTCTGGGAGAGAGATCTCATAATCTGGCATGATCTACAATTTCAACAAGGCCAGTACACTGAAAACCCTCGGTCACGATGACTTGTGACTCTGTGCTAACATAACTATCAACGACTCCCAAATAGTCCCATCTACTCACTTTTACTCACAAGGCTTGGTATGATTTTTAGGCATTTTCCAAAGTTGCATGCTGCGATGGCCTCTCCAGGTCAATAACATAAAAAAAAAAAAAAAAAAAAAAAAAATCACCATTAATCAACCATGATGGGATTCAAACACAGGTATCATGGTCAGCTCATCATAGTTACAGAACGTTCTAATTATTCAATCATGCTGACCTCCAATCCAAAGCAAGATGGATATAGTGTGAAAGAAGAAGGAAGTAGAAAAAGATAGAAGAATGTAAATTTACCTTCTTTACTGCCAACAGGCCCTTGTGGAAAGAGAGAATAAAAGAAACATAAGATAGTGGGAGGATAATTTAGTGTGTGAAAGTGGGAGGTAAGTTACATGATGGGAAAATGGATTGAAAAATGAAAGGGTATGATAAAAGAAGTTCTGGTCCATGAGTGTACATCACGCTCTTCAAATGTGTCAGTAGTGTCAAATCAGTCACAGTTCATCAAAACAGCCAATTCATCAAAAATTCATACTTTGCTGTTTTTTTTTTTTTTTTAAATTGAGTTCATCCCATGCAAGGCACAAACACACAAGGGATTACTGAGAGTGGAAGAATTAAATAACAGAAACATTACTAAGGAACAAGAACAAAAATAGAGTAATCAAGAAGACAGTAGATAGAAATTGACATTGCATTTGAATTTTTGAAGATTAAAGTTGGCTGGAAAGCATAGGGCTGGAAGGGAGTTCCACAAGCAAGAAGCGTGAGAAAAGCAACTGTTAGCATAGAACTTATGGTGACATCTAGCAAACTCAACTGTAAATTGATGAGATCTCATCACTAGTCTAGTATTGCACTTAAATTCAAAAAGCTTAGGTATCATAGTGAAGAGCTCATCCGAACAATTACCATGAAAGTATTTATAGATCTGTTGTAAAATAAGGCAAGGATGTGTCAAAGTTGGGGGAAACACTTAACTGATTGTTTACTTAAAAATTACAAGGTAACAGGTGGAGATGGAAGAAAACAAAATAAAACTGAGCCATGACTAGCACAAAAAAAAAAGGAATTTTCAACAATATATGCATTTTTATGTATTTATCATTATTTTTTAACTTTTATAAAAAACGACATTCTTGTACATGTAATGGATAATATTATACATTAATTACTAATTTTTTTAATTAATAACTATTTGTGCTCAGTTGTTGACATTAATAGCTATTTGCTGATGTGTTAAAATTCTGGAATAATGTAATTATAAAAATTTAAATTTTATCTCTCTGATAGATGTTGCAGTCAGTTAAGAATTCAGAAAGTAAAATAATATACAATGAAATCATATTAGAAAAAAAACCTTGCAAATTAAAGTATTGGGACGGCCAAACAGTTTGCTCACTTATTAAGTAGAAAATTTACTTAATAAACCAAAGAAACATTTTGGCCAACCCAATAGATAGCTGATGTATTATTTAAAAGAAAAAGTATGTTTTTTAAAAGATAGAAAAATGTGCAGTTAGACTTTGTTTGAAAAACATCCAGCAGCAAAAAGTCTTAGACAGAAAATATTTACCTTTTTATTGTGTGAATAAAAAATGAAATCTATTAACCATCACTTTAGCTGGAATGATAAAATCTCTTTAGATGAAATGAGGAAATAAATATTAATAACACTGAATAGAAAAGAAAAAAATGATCATCTTTCTTATGATTTGGTTATTATTCTCAGCAGAAATTAGAGAATTTTCTCAAGAAAAACAACAGAAGCCCATGTTAAAAAAAAAAATTTTCTTTTTTATTCATAAGTATAGGGTGCTTTGTGATGTATACATATCTACAATCTTTGTGACCATTTCTTCTGCTTCTGGGTTGTTCTGAAATAAGAAAGAAATTCAATCATTACCAAGGGAAAATTGCAGAAAGAAAATCTATCAAAATTTAGGCAGCATGAGCAAAACTGTTTTACATTCCAAAGTCCAAATATTTTTTTTGTTTAAAATGTTTTTTTTTTTGGATTATTAAACACTTGTTGGTTATTTAAAGCTAAAAATTGTTTGGATCGTAGGAAGTTGCTTACAGTATTCAGTGTTCACAAGCAGTTCCAACACAAAGGTAGAGTAAATAATTCACAACGAGTCTGGCAAACAAGATACATAAACTCAATGAGAACAGACAATATATATATATATATATATTTGTGTGTGTGTGTGTATTATATTTAAAAAAATAAAATATAATACAAGCTTACCTATGTGAAAAACTAGTGATGATTTATGAGTACAACATTTAGAGTTGTTTATATTCTGCACTTTGATCTCAACTACATATTATTTTTTCCTTTCTTTCTTTTTTGTCTCAACCCATTTTATTTAACTTGATACCCACAGTTTGAAAAACCCTGCTCTAAAACATGTCAGATCTAACAATGGTTTCTCCTGACAAGGTAGACACAGGTTCAAATCCTGCTGGAGAGTGCATATTTTTCTTTAATAAGATTTCTTGAATATTCAAGCCAGCACATAAAAATAAATATACTGTTTAATAAATAAACAGACTGTTTACACAAATATGGGTAACCACTAAAAGTAAAGTTTAAGTAATAAAATCTATTAGATTAATAAATAAAAAAAATCCATCACTTCTTTAGAAATATATTTATATATATTTAAATAATCTCCAAATTATTAAAATCAATTGAGAAGGTCTGTTTGTTTAACTTTTTATTGCCATTTTCCAATTTTTGAATAAGTAGTTGTATATCAGGATTAAAATTGTGGATAAAATGATTTTGGAAATGGAATTCTAATTTGTATCTCTTCATCTGATATGCTATGCTGCAACTATTGAGTTATATTCCTAAGTTAAATAGTCTTGAAAGATTTGATATCTGATATGATCCATTGAGTATTAAGGGATTTTACTTCTTGAAGATTTTAAAATGAACATTTACCACAAGCATTGAACAGCAGACACTGAATATGTAATTGTTAATTCTGGCCATGATGCTATCAGCATTGGAAATTTTTTTCAGATAATTTTTCAAAATTGATTTCTTTTTTTTTTTTTTTAAATACTGGAAAGAATGAAATGGAAACAATTTCACTTGAATTTCTTACCTGTGGAATTTCATTCAATTTGGTCAGCTTTAACACGGGCAGAAAAGCTCGCATTGTTGATGAATCAATGTACAAAGATTCAAGATAACAAATAAACACCTGGGCAGGAATATCAAAAACTTGGCAGTGTGTCAGGACTGAAAAACAGAGATAGTATGACAAAAAATAAATAAATAAAAAGCAATAACTAATGCAACATTTAAATAACTATACATTTTGAAAGACATTACAAAAATTATATATATATATATATATATATATATATATACAATACAATATACACGGGAATTTAAAACTACTCCACTGTAATGATCATTTCACCTTACAAAATTTACTTGCAAGAATTTTCAAACTGATTAAGGTAAAAAGATAAAATAAAATAAAATCCTAAAGCAAATCTTAAGATAAGGCAGAGGAAAAAAAGAAAGAAAGAATAAAGGGAATGAAAGAGTAAAGAAAAAAGAGAAAAAGACGATGATAAAGAAAAGAGTAGGGATGTTTAGACACGGGGATGGTAACAGCAGGCAAACACATGTCGACATGACCTTGACTTATATTAGAATATTCATCTCAGGCTACTATCAAGGAAATAGATGTAGGTAATTAGGGATGATATTTTATCTTATATTAACAATTCACTACTACTTTAATAATAAAGGATATTATTATACATTATATTAAAAAGAAAAATATATAAATTATTTCAAAATTACTTATAAATTAAAAAGCATATATTGTTTTAATTTTTTACTTTTTAAGAAATGTATTAATTATATTTTATTTTTAAAAAAATATATATTATTTTATATTAATAAAACTATTACCTTCTATAAAGCATTATTTAATATAATAACATTGAACAATATTTAATGATATTATTTAATATAATAATGTTATTTATTAATGATATAATAATTTATATAAAATAATATATACTACTTATATTTAATAATTATATCTCATTTTTCTTTAAATTATTTTTTTTTGTTAATTATCTATTTGTAATTATTACTTATTGAATTATATTTCTTTATATATTCAATTTATTTAATATCTCTATTATAATAATTATTTCTATATCATTTTATTGCACTGATTTATATGCATAATGTTTACATTTTTAAGTATAGATGTTTCTTTTCACTTAGTCTGACTTAATTGTTGGTTTTTTTAATATAAAATAAAAAAATCTGATTTTTTATTTTTATTTCTTTACTTGGTCGACATTTGATCTTCTACTCTCTCTCTTATATATATATATATAAAAATTAAATATAGTCTTAACCTATTATTATATATCCTAAGTACTAAGTTTATTCTATAAGACATTACGTTAAATGATATATCGGTATTTTATGCAAAAAAGAATTATCCCCCTTGATCCATAACGTGTTTACATAATTTCAAATATTTTTATTTAAAATAATTTCAACATTGGGTATTATATATATATATATATATATATATATATATATATATATAAAAGTGTATTCCAACATTTTGTGCAAGTCACATTTCTTTTTCAAATTTCTTGACTGTATATATTTGACCTTAATTCAGAAAAAATGTTGGTAGCAATGACATGCTTAATTGTGTCCAATAACACTTAGTTTTTGCAACAGTAAAGAAATGCCATATAATTTGGTAATATTGCTTGGTTGTGACCATTCCAGTTTTTAAGCAACATGGGCTGTAAAGGGGACAGTGCAAAAATTGTTTAAATACAACAAATCATAAAGCAATATCAGAAATTGCTAAATTCCTTGCAAAACAAAAAAATAAATAAATAAATTTCTAACAAGCCCAACTGCATACAGTAGTACCCAATCTGGCAAAGACAAGATACAGAAATCTTTGACTTTCACTAGATGAATGGAAACCCATTTGAAAATTGAGATACAGAAACACCCATTTAAGACTAGCCAAGAGTTATTCAAAACCAGTGGGTTTCCAACTGTGCCTAAAATGTGACAAGACTTAATACTGAAGCTTTTAAGAATGTGCACCAAACCAATTGTTGAAAATTGGACACTACTTAAATAGACTGGTCCACTCATAAAAAATAGGGAAAATTTTGTAGATTAGCATTCATTAGTCCTTGCTCAAGCCATGACATTTGTTAGAATAAAAAAATATTGATTTTTTTTATCAATTTAGAAGGGTGCTGTTTTCATAATACTGATAAAATGCAAAGTTAATCCCTGACTTTTTACTTTTTTCTTTTTGAATAAATTATTGTTGGGCCTATCGTGGGCTTTCATTTATTATCCTTTATTTTTTTTTTAAGATGATTGAATAAAAAAGTGGAACGGTCTAAAGAAAAAAAAAAAAAAATATATATATATATATATATATATATATATATATATATATATATATATATATATATATAAAAATATACTCATTTAATACTGTTCGGATTTGGGAAGATTTCACATATAAAAAACACTTATATGTGACAAAAGTTTCTGACTTTTCATCTGTTAGTGTTATAATTGTTGTAATTTTTTTTATTTGTATCAAATATTGGAAAGTAATAAATTTCATTAGTTTTCTTCTAGGCAATGTATTTAAGGACTTGTCTCCCTTACATTAAATTCACACAATGTTTTAAGAAACAATTCTTTTATAATATAATTTAAAAACAATGTGTCAGTATTCGGTCTTTAAATTTTCAAATCATTTTTAATTCAGAGTTTTAAGTTTGACTTATATCCAAATCAAAATTAATTTCATCCTAATATTTACAATTTAAATTCATAGCAACTTAACCTGAAAAAAAAGATATATTGTTTACTAAGGATGACACACTAAAGAAAATAAATTCTTACTTTGAGCTGGGAGTCCTGTAACAAGGTTTGGTTGTTCAAGATATGGACAAGGAGGCCTTTGTTTACAGGTGTTTGTAGTCCTCAGAGATCGCAAGAAGGGAACAGCAAGTTGACAATATGGAATTTCTGTTCGATATTCACTTGATGGCAGAGAAGTAAGAACAGCAACTTCAGCAGATTCCATGAGGAAAGAAGTGAAAAGCTGACATAGAAAAATAAATTAATCTTTAATTCAAAACCAGTTTCAATATCCTGCTATATTTGGTGGTTATAAGAATGTTATGAAGCTTTAAGATGGAAAACCTCTTACACAAAATTGAGAAGATAAATATGAAAAGTATAAAGAAATTATCAACAAACATAAAATGCAATGTGCACATATCTACGCACACACACATACAGGGTTTCCATAAAGTCTATTTACAATCTAAAAAAATATTACAAAAGCAACTGATGAGATATCTTAATCAGATTTGTTCTATACACTGAGTAGTTATCAAACTTTTTAATAACATTGTATTTGTGCATTTCAGGTATCCTGTTGATGAAAGAGATATTGTTAAATGGCTACTCCTCAAGAAAAGGCACAATGTGTGTCATAGTTTATTAAAACAAATATCAGATACACAAACTCAGCGAAACACCAGAACTTCTTTCTATGGGGTCATGTTAAATATATCAAGTATCAAACAAAGATCAAGGACATCATTGATGCCATTGCCACCATTTATGAAGCTATGCTATAGTGAACATGGCAAGAAATCAAGTATTGTCTTGATGTGTTTCATGCAACATATGGTGCTTGTAAAGGTGTATTAAATTAGTTAAAAAAAAAAAAAGCTTCAATATCTATTCCTCATTTTGTAATAATTTCCACATATTTCTCTGTTTATTTGCTTTTGTAATAATTTTTTTAATCATAAACAGACTTTATGGACTATATATATATATATATATATATATATATATATATATATATATATATATATATATAAGAATTAATGGATTCACTTTTAATCCAATATTTTACTATTTCAAACATTATTATAGTGGACACTTCATATTTGAAATAGAAGCCTCATTTTCTTTCTTTAGAAGTTGCTTTGTTTACATTTTAATACAAAACTGAGCAGATATGAAGCTTACAAGAAAATAATCTGAGCGAAGAGGATGTGCTTTCATTAAAAAGGAAAATAGAATGTTGCTGCTATGAAGTAAAGTGCACAGGATCAAACTGTATTTCCCTCTCAAACTGAACAAATAGACACTTGAGAAGCCGTCCATGAGGCACTGTGGGCTCCATGCAGAGTCGCCTGTCATGTCATAGGATCAGAATTTTTCTGTTATTTCATACTTGACTCATTAAAACACCATTATTTCTTAAATATTGTTACTAGATGTATACAGTTATCATTTTATATTCTTCTAGTTCCATATGTCATTAAGGTTGAAGAGGTATCATATTTACTGCACCCACAGCAGCAGTGGTTTATCTTGGTCAAGATAGCCTGATGAAGCACAAGCCTCTTCGGGCTGGTTTTGAATCTGTAGGCGTCCTCCTCCTAGACTGGTTGACACTTCAAGGCAAGAAAACCCAGTCTGCCCTGCTATTTAACACACAAATGGATAAAGATGGGTTCTTGCTTTTTCCAATGACATTAATGCTAAGTGAACAAAACAGAATCAGGCGAGAATTGAACTCTGCATATCTAATTCACTTTCCTTACCAATAACCATTACAAACAAAATTAAATACTTAATTAAATAAGACTCCACTTCAACTTCTATTATCCACTTTGTCATAATCAAATTCTAAATGACATTTATGAACTCCAAAGAAGAATGTCAAGCTATAAAGATCATAAAGTGTGTAAAATGATAAAGCTGATACAAGGCACATTTCTTTTGAGCTACAGATTTTTCATGAATGTCACAAATGTTTTATATGACTCACAAAATGGGGGTAAAGATTTAATTTCAACTCGAAACTAAGGGTTAGGGTTTTTAAATTGAGTTGAAATTAATTCTGAGGTGAAATTAGATTCAAGTTGAAATTAATTTTGTCACTCACAAAATGAACTAATAACAAACTTTTATTCATTGAACAAAATGAGTTTGATTTCAGAAAATGAAAAAAAATTAATAAAAAAAATAAAAAAGAAAGAAAATTTTGTCTTTTTTTTTCCCTGTTAAATACCATACCATATTCAAATATCATACACAAGAGTTAACTGAGAAACTAAATCTTAGAGGATTAGATCGTCATCATGACAATATTAAATCCACTTTTCTGCTTAGCCATTCAACTGTATTGCATCTCCCTGACACTTCTGTTTTAGAAAGCAAATCATGAAAATGCAAAGTTATTGAAATAAATTCTTTTGCAATAAACCTTCTTCATTCTTACCTTATTGACCCAACAAAAGGCAGTTTCTGGGGAGACGTCCTTTATACAACAACAAACCATAACATCTGTTTGGCCCTTACAATGGAATATCTCAGCATTCTTGTAAGAACCAGACTCATTTTCATTCAAAACACTCGATAGCCAACCAATTGGACGAGATTCTGATGAAAGGAGATAAGACTGGCAGAAACCTTGTCAAAAAAAAAAAAAAACAGAAACTATTTCAAATGAGGACAATGAAAAAAACAGCATCAACATTACAACATCTGATAATGAATGGATTTAGGCAATTGCAACATCAACAACACTAAAACTAGGGTTAGAGAATACATTAATGGACTTGCAAAGTGTGATAACCAAACAGCATTATTACAAAGAACTTTTAGCTATCTCCAGTAAAACAAAAAAAAAGTAAGTGAAATATTTTTGCAAGAATACAAAATTTTATTATTACAACAATACAAACATATTAAAAGAATATTCATAAAAAAGAGGAGTAACAAAATATATATTACTGTAAATTGGTAATACTGAAATATAACAATTAAAAACAGTTTATCTGTTATTTTTTATTAGATCAAAAATAGAGAGCAAAAAAAAAAAAAAAAAAAAAAAAAAAAAAAAAAAATGCAACTCCTGACTAATGCTATCTGCAAAAAAACTTTAAAAGTTAATTACCTTTAAGCCCACCAACCACTCCTTTTGAATTTTTTTTGTTCTGATGCTTGCTGTTGGTACAATGTACAGCAGAAATACTTACTACATAACAGTAAGATATTAGTGGCAATAGAGTTTTCATCTAGTTAATGTCTTACCATTATGTGGGAGGAGATATTTCTGTTGTATCCTATATTATTATAAATTTTCCCTCTATAATTGTATCAAGTTGGATTTATGGGGTTCAAAGTTTTAATAAATAGGCTTTTCTGATGGGAAGGACACAGCAGGATTAAAAACAACACTTGTCAAAAGGCAGATGAACTTTTTTGTAGAGGTCAATGGCCATCTAAAACAATGGGACAGATTTGGCTCCATAGCTATAGATGCAGGCAGTACTATGATGACACAGCATCATTGGGCAGAGAGCTTCTGAGACTGAAGTCAACATCCAAAGCAGAGAGTTTCACTGATAGAATTAAAAACCTTGTGTCTATGACCAAGATAAGCCTCCAGGTTGGTGGACACTGGTAATGGTTTGACTATACATGAATGAATCCTTCCAGCTTTCAACCCAGATTTATGTATAGCAGAGGGAATGAGCTAGCTGCTCAGCAAGCTTACAACTGAACATGAGTCTGATGATGATGATTATATGTTAATGTTTTTTTTTTTTACCTGAAGCAGCCTGTCCAACTGCAATGACCAACATAGAACAATGTAGTTTCTCATTGACCAATTCTTTTTCTGTAACTGCATCCCACTCAAGACTGGTCTGCCTGTAAAGAAAAACAAAACAGGCAGACATTATTCTTAAAATTATTTCACAAATTAAATGGTCACTTGGGATAATTTGAAAGTCATCATTTCACTCACAATTACATAAAAGCAACATAGGATGATTGGCAAACTTGGACCTTTGTGCCTGCAAAAAGCAACAGAGTGTCAAAAGGATGTTTTTTTTTCTCTTAATGTGCCACTATTAATTTAATTACCATCTCTCCTCGGCAATGTTTATTGTTTTAAAAAGTTATCATTAGAATTGTAATAAAACTTAAACATATGATGAAAGTGAATTTATACATTTCCTTTGTTCTTGAGAATTGCCAACAAAAATAATAAACACTATTACCTCTCTATATTTCTGAGATGAGGTATTGTAACTATTTACACTATTTATATTGTTTTGACTGCTGTCCTCATCTTTACTGTCATATTCAGGGTTAATATTTATTTATTAGTTTGTTTACACTATTTATTATTTATATTGTTTATTGGAATGGTTAACAAAACATTGCTTAATTGCCAATTGTTTTGAATTTTATAAAATTGTAACAAGGATTTCCTTATAATTGGTTCACATAGTTTAATAATTTACTAAATGTTTATAAATTTATGAATAAAATATTGTTTCTATATTTATTTCTTTATAAACTGGTAAATGATAAATGTTACATTGCATTAGTTCTAATTGTATTCGTTTTTAAATTATTCTTGTAAATAAACAATCTAATAAATAAATAGTGTTTAATATTTTTGTTGTAAATTCTCAAGAACAAAAAAAAAAAAATGAATAAATTCACCTTCATATGTTTAGGGTTTATACAATTCTAATAATCACTTTTTAAAACAATAAACATTGCCAAGAAGCAAATATACTTAAAATAATAGTGGTATCAAGAGAAAAAACTGCTCTTTTAACATTTTTTTTGTTGGCACAATGATCCAAGTTTGCCAGACCTTTTATACATTTTACAAAGACAACACAAAATTCATGGATAAGAAATTTTCACATTTTTCAGAAGTAGCAGAATTCACTTAATTCATTATTTTAATTTGGAATCTAAATATTTTATCTGGCTGAGTTGGCAGGAAAGGTTATTTTAAATCTCGAGTTACATCCCTTGTACTGATACTACTTTTTATGTGCTATTGAAAATACCATGAATTTAGAATGTGAGCAATGAGGAAGTTTTAAGGAAAATGGGAATGAAAAGGACATTTTTAGTTAGAATCAGAAAGAGACAATTGAAATATTAATGAGAAAAGAAGACTTGCAGAATGTGACACTCACAAGACAAATTAAAGACAAGAGGGACAGAAATAGTGAACCATCATCACTTATCCTGAAGTGACATGACACACAGAAGAAAAAAAAAAAAGACCTTACGGGACATGAGCCATCTAGCATTGATTAATTTCAAAAGAAAACAACATTTATTTGAAATATCTTCTTATTTGAGCATCATTTTTATCTATAACTAACAATTATCAACTTCCTCACAATTTTTAGAAGTAGCTTCATAAATAGGGCATGTTCAATTCTTTTTTAAGTCCCGCTTATTACATACTGATCTAGAGTTGGTCGGTTTGGCAATTTATATTTCGGTATCAGTTTCCGGTTTTATTTTCCTTGTTACTGCAGTTTTTGATTCAGTTTTTAATTTAGTATTTTTGCTTTCTAAGGAAGCCATTCATTTTCTTGTGTAATGATAGCATTTCCAGTCGATATCTGATTTCATTTGAGATTAATAAATTTGCAACTTAGTCAGTTCAACTCACAATTTCTCATGTATTTCTGGTCCAATCTTAAAAATGTTCATATGGCTGGAAAGAAAATAAAATAATCTTTCTAAATATGTAATTTTATGTGCTTTTATTCATTGAATTATTTTTTTTACAGCGAGTTAAAACAGTATTGCTTCAACCAGCCGAAAATACAAAATGTTTTTTTTTTTTTAGACTAAATTTTACATGTTACTTTGTTTCACAAAATCAAAGTGACAAATCTTTATCAATATTCTTGAAATTGTACATTCAATTAGAAGACAACTTAAACTACAATCAGGAAGATGTTAATTTCTTCTCTGACCCAAGGAAGCAAATTCCTTCAAAAATTATTAAGGAAAAAAAAAAAAAAAAAAAAAAAAAATGGCAATTCTTTTCTGGTATGCCAGTCAACTATTATTTGGCTTTTGCAAATAAATTTCTTCTAAACAAGGAAAATTAATGAGTTAGTTTTCTCCTAAATAAATTTATGCTTTTATTTAGCAAATACACCTAAAATTAAATATCAAAAATAATTAAAAGCTTTTAATTTCATTTTTATAATGTGTAGATTTCCAAATCTTACTCACAAGATTTGGAAATCACTTGTTCTTTTTTTAGATACGCATTTTAAAACTGAAATTAAAAATCATTTTAATCATTTTAATATATAATCTTAAGTGTATTCGCTAGATAAAACCATAAACATATTTGTAAAAATAAAATGAATTAATTTTCCTTGTTTAGAAGAATTTTATCGACAGAAAAGTAACAAAAAACCACCAAACACTAGTGCCTAAAAAAGAATAATTTTTACTTTGGGTTTAAAAAAAAAACAACTTGCAGTTTTGAAAATATACACATTTTAAAACTGAGATTAAAACTTACTTTATTTTTTTAATATCTAATTTCATGTGTATTCGCTAGATAGAAAAATAATTTTATTTGTAGAAAACAGAGACTCGCATACCCAGAAATATACATATCTTAAAAGTGAAATTAAGAACTATTTTAATTATTTCTAATATCTAATTTAGGTGCATACCCTAGATAAAAAACAAATTTATTTATAAAAAAAATCTCCATTCGTTTTTCTTGTTTGCAACAACTTTATTTCGTAATTGGCTTACTAGAAAACCCTTATAAAAAATCTGACTTCATAAAATTTAACATTAAGACAAATCTGGCAACTATTTTTTTTTATTTTTACTGGCTATTTTGTTGTTAACTTTTTCCTAAAATTAATTACAGTTGAAATGAGATGTTTTAAAACAAAATAAAAACATAATTTTCTACATTTATCACTATTTTTGAGAAATTCCCTAAAAACATGAAAAATGTTACAGTCCATTGATTAATTTTCTACAGTTTATCAACCCTTTGCAAGTTATTTATAGCCAAAAAATATTTTTAAATCATAAGAATTTTTTTAGTTGGTGGGGGGATAATAATGGTATAGTTATACAAGTCTTACTAATTAACCCATAGCTGGGAGGAGAAGAGGTGGATTCATATTTTTCCCAAGGGTATTTGCACATAAGTGAATGTAACAAATCCAATAAGAATTGAAACTTGGCTCTTCAATTAACAATTCCAAGCCATTATCAATTACATCACCCATACATCCAAGTTTACAGAAGCTGGTATTCCTAAGGTTCTAGGTACTGATCAGGCTTAATTTTGGTGATCATACAGAAACCAGTGTTACAGTACAGCTTCCTATGTCCAAAATGGTACCTCTGTTCTATCAAAGAGTAGGAATCTTACTACTAGAAAATGTAATTTAAATTTAGTTTTAAACAGAAAACAACTGTCAGTTAATATTTTCATGAGACTAGAAGTAACAATTTTTCTATAAGCAAAACAAATCCATTGAAGAAAAGCTCAAAATAAAAATGCTGAAAGAATTTTTTTTTTAAATTGATGAATCTAATCAATATACCTAATTAAAACCATATATATGTTTGTTCCTATAATAACAAAGAATCTTTTTGTAAGAAAAAGGGAAAATATCTATTTCTCCAGACAAACAATTATTGTTTTTGATTAATCAGAATCACCCCAAACAAGGCAATAATGCCACTAAAACACAAGGGGCTACAGTGTGTGGAAGAATTAGGCACAAAAACATTAATGATGAGCAGAAAAAGAAGAAAGTAATCAGGTGAACAGTAGACAGCAAGTGATATTGCATTGTTAACATAGAATTTAATGGCTACATTTAGCCACCTCAACTGTAAATTGATGAGGTCTCAATGCCAGTGTAGTGCTGCTCTTAAATTCAAAAACTCTAGTGAAGAGTTCATTTGAATACTTACCATGAAAATTGTTTAAAGTATTTTCTTAAAATAAAGCACAAAGATGTATACATTTGTGACAATCTGTGTGTTCTTTCCAAATCCAAAGCCTTCTCACTCCCATTGGAGGAACCTCTCCCTGAATATCCAAGTTTGCATACTAACTAACATGTTGGCCAATTGTGAGTTGGTGAGGCTATTTAACCAATAGTTAGAGGTTTTTGAATTCAGAGTTTATCCTTCTCCTAGACTGGCTGCCATCCAAGGTTATAGAAACCAATCTGTCCTGCTATTTATTCATAAAGTTTGTTCTTTATTTAAAAGAAATCCTTTTCTAAAAAAAAAGGTCTGTTTTTGTATGCAGTTATCAATGACGTAAGAAGCACAGTTTGAAAATTGAAATAAAAAAAAAATGTAAGTCCACGTAATTCTGTGAACGCCAGGGATCGATTTTCCCTTCTTAATGTAAATCAATAAAAAAAAAATTAGTATTTCTTGGTTTGTGACAAGTGTTGCGGCCTAAAGAACCTCTAAGTTTACAAAAGATATTTTTTTAATTCCCTATTTTTACGAGTGTACCAGAAGTAGTTTTTCAAATTTGATACAAGTTAAACAGAAGTAGCAACCATACTACCATTATTACCTATATGTTGAGACGAATTTTAGTTGACTAACTTTTGATTTACCTTTTTATTTTATGGTGAGGATCAAAATTAAACTAACTAAAAAAATGTAAAGGAAATGATAGCCAGAAAGAAAGATTGTAAAAATTATCAGACACACAAATAAGCTAAAAAAAAAAAAAAAAAAAAACGCTTTAAAATTGATTAGGAAAAATATAATTAAATTCCAAGTATCGGACCCCAGGAATTAATTTACTTGCAAAAATCGAGTTAACAATAATCATATTTTTAACGAGTTACGAAAACAAATAAATGACGAAGCAAAATAAACAATATTACACACAATTTGGACACATTTTTCACTTGCAAAAGATGTCCTAAAAAGGCATAAAATACTAATTCGTTTGTTTTGTATTTAATTTTAGAGGAAACTAAAGTTTTCTATACCATTTCAGGTCAATTTCCTGTCCTTCCAATTCTTCTTCTTCGTCATCTTCATCTTCGGCGACAGCTCGGGAAAAAACAGGTAAAATTTCACCAAAAAAAGTTGCCATCTTTGTTACTTTATCGACTTCCTTGTTTGAAGAGTTTGAATTGCAATCAACCAAGAGTTATTTCCCCTTAACATCTGAAAATCACAAATTATTTCCTCGCTAAATTTTCCTTTTTGTTCGACTCATTATCTTATTCTTCAACTGAGTTTATAATTTTTGTTTTTTAAGCTTAATTTAATTCTAGCACACGGTCAAAAGCATGGAAGACACAGTAAGGATTCAACTCACTAATTTATACTAGTCACTGTCAAGTCAACCAGATGAGCTTGATAATAATCCCTCACGCTGAGGTACCTAGTTAAAATTGATTTTTATCCGTTTTGTAAAAATGACAACCGTTTCTCTCCCAAAACGCTATTTCAGAGTTTGGAATAGCATTATTAAATTTCATTAGTAAGAAATAAAATCAAATCATAAAATCTACATGTGGTTGAAAGTTAATTAAACCAAAAATAACCTATGGTAACAATTGAATTGAACACAATGATTTGTAGGGACATTGAACGGCCTCGATTCAATCCGTACATTTTTTTACTTTACAAACGTGTCAACAAACGAAAATCAAACAAAAGAAACAACACAAAAACTGTTTTTATAATGACAAACAATCTTCATTTTACTACATGACATACAAAGCAATCAAGTGAGTGATTTTTATATAGTAAGTTGAGATTAATAGGAGTTATTTCCCTTGAACTGTTATTTGAATGAGTTAAAACTTAATTTTATCTGGACTCAGAGCTATTTCAGTTGATGAGTTAAGAGATGTTCAATGTTCGTGTGTGTGTGTGTGCGCGCGCGCGCCATAGCGTCTTCCCATCAGAGACAGACGTAAAACTGAATTACATAGTTGTGATTCTGAGAAAAACAGAGGAAAATGAGAAAGAGTTGAAAATGTCTCTGGGTATTTATAATGTTGTATGTTACCGTGATAGGCTCGAAACACAGACAGATTTTTGTATTTTCCTTCAGGTCATAAAATAGGTCGATACAATTCGGATATAGTTGAAAACATGATATTAGTATTAATTGACCAATCAAGAGTCAGAGAAGTATCAAGTCTCTGTGATCCACTTTTTGCACAAAATTGAACAAGTTATGTACAGCTGTTTGAAATAATGTAAAATTAAAATTCCACAGATCCATAATTTTGTCCCATAATTCATTTTTCCGATATGGTTTTTGTTTCATTAAACTTTTAATCTGGGTAATTAATTCACAGATTCAATGTATATAACATTCCCTACACCCTTGTTAACAGGGTCGGAAGTGATGGATTTGTAGAGTAAGCAGAAGTGAACAGTATCAAATCAAAGGAGCAAATGACAAAAATAAACACACCTCGCAGCCTTCCGGGTTTCAAACGCACTTAAATTTTCAATTTAATAAAAATAAATAGCCAATAAAATCAGCTCCCGCCAATAAATAAACACAGGCTTCTGGAGCCCATAAAAACCAAACACAGCAGAGGTACTGGCAGCAGTAAAGAGACGCGAGTCAACCTCGTCGTCCTGTCTTTCTCCCCAAATCAACAGCGGGCTCCCTTTGATTTTGTTTCCCAACTCCACTTTCTCTCGTCCTCACTAAAAGGCTATTCCTGTTCATTTCCTTACAGTCAATGAGAAGAACTTTCTAACTTTCATTTCATAAATGATTACAGTTAAAATTTGCATGTCTTACGTTTATCATTTTATTTGTACACGTGACAATCTTTTCTCTCGTTTTTTTTTATTCAAGAAACGGTGAGCCATGGAATCTTTCCCTAACAGATTCAAAGTTCCGCCAAATTATAATTGTAATATAAGACCTTGAAAAAATATACCAAGATAAAGAGGATTAATTTCATTAAAACTGTTTTAATGCGAATAATTAATTCAAAGCTTAAAATTCATATAACATTTCGTACACCCTTGTTAAGGGGGTGGGAAGTGAAGGACCCGATACTCTGTTAAATTATATATTATTTGTAATAAGACCAAATTAACTCTGCTCTTACTTACTTCTTTCTTTCTTTAAATTTCCTAAACTGACTACCGCGAACTACTGCAAGCCCAAACCGAAACTAAAAATGTTCGCTCCCAGTGGAACGACGACATTTGAGACAAGCCTCCAGTTCTGGGCCGAGTTGACTTAGCCATTAGTAAAGTATGCCATAGCACGAATTAATTTCTTCCTGAGCTCTGTCCCAGATATCTTGACAAAATTCCCTCGCCCTGGCAGGCCACCATAGTGTGGGAGAGTGAGCGCTTGGACAACATATTTTCCCATAATTGCCTTATACGTCCAAAGAGTAGTATCAAAAAGCCCTATAATCGATTTTGACCAGGATCGCCCAATCATAAACATTCATTCATAGTTTTGATACTAGTCTAGTGAGTGGCGTTTTCACGTGCATTTTTGTTTCTAGTTTAACTCCAGAATAACAATAGACTTTGGAATTCATGAGTTCGAAGGGAAGAGAAGTTTCTCTTAAATATTGTAGTGAGTGTGAAATAATAACTCCTTTCACCCACTCCCTTCAAATTCAGAGGACTGAGGAAAAAGAAGAAAGAAAGAAATTTGCGAGCCTATCTGAGATTATTGCCTTTCACAGAAATTAACCGGTGAGCCAAAAAGAAGAATGGAGATTCACGAGATTATGTTAACTTTTTTAGGATGAATGAAAACTTTGCTTTCACAGAAATTAACTTGTGAGCTAAGAAGAAGGAAAGAAAGTAGCGAGCCTACGAGAATTTGTTTTTGATATAACGTTTTATATCAAAAAGAATTTCGCGTAGACTCGCTACTTTTTAGGAGAAAAATTAAATTAATCAGAAAAGGGTTTGAAGTCATGTGAAAGGTTTCGTTTCAGTTCCTCGCGACCAGCTGAAGTATTCGCCAGTGTAAAATTACTCGCCAATTATATTATCGGCCTCTAACTAGCACGCGGCACTTCAAAGAATTTTCTCTCAACAATCCAAGAAAGATAAGTATTTCAAACTATCTCTCTTCGTTTACTTTTGAAAATATGCAAATTATATATCACTTCGGTGACCAATGATCTCGCTTACCTTTGTCCAAAGACATTTTTGAATATTATTTTGTGTCAGATCATTTAATCTGTTGTATGAACATTTCCTCTTCATGACAATATTTTTAAAGTGAATGAATTCCTTATCATGTTTTGTTAAAATTACCCATGTGTTTCCTCGTCATTATCATCCTTCATTAATCTTCTTGGCGTAGGTAAATCAACTGTTCATTTTAAACTCTAAGCCCCACGCCACCATAGTATTTTGACCGTGTAATCCATACGACCACAACAAAAAATGAGAGAAAAAGAAATATGTTATTTCTATCCAACTCACATTTGCGTTGATTTCAAAGTTTATTATTAAACTGTGGTTGGGACAGAGATGAAAAATTATTTGAAAAGTTCGATTGCTACATTAATTTTAAAGGGTTTCGTATTTATAATTTTTTTCTTCTGGACACCAATAATCATACATATGCCATTTTGTCTTACGGCCATTTCACATTGATACACCGGTTCACGTACGATCACCGAAATTAAGCAACTTCGAGCCAGATCAACTAGATGGGTGACCACTTGCGAATACCAGGTGCTGTAAGGCGGGACGTCTGGGTGATGTAATGGATAACGGCTCGGAATTTGAATATTGCTTATTCTTCTTTGGATTTTATATTTTGAATTGTGGTGTAGACACAAGTAACATTTTTTTAAATATTTCAAATAGAAATTTTGTTTCTATTTCTGAGATGAAGTATTGTAACTATTTACACTATTTACATTGTTCGGGCTATTGACTTCATCTTTATTGTCATATTCACGACGTTTCGGTTGTCATACGCACCGGCCTTCTTCAGGTGATATACGTTGGAATTTCGAATCGAACCCTTTATTTAGTCCACGAAGTAGATTGTTTGGGTTCGAAATTCCAATGTATATCAACTAAAGGAGGCCGGAGAATACTACGGCCGAAACGTCGTGAATATGATAATAATGATGAGGACAACAGTCCAAACAATGTAAATAGTGTAAACAAATTTTGTTAATATTTGTTTTCATTTTTCTACTTTCTGCCTCTGTCTGTCTGTCTGTCTGTCTGTCTGTCTCTCTCTCTCTCTCTCTCTCTGAACAGTTGTGTGATATAAGCAAACACTAACATCGCTATATTGATAGTATGATAAATGATTACTTCCATGCTCATCCCAGAGATCTCGAGTACCTTGTGGTGAAAATAAAGAGAAGATGAATAAACGTGATCTTGGGAAGAGCCTTTCGCTTACGATAGAAGATGTTATTATTAACAATTTTTCATTTCCTTTTTTTTTTCCTTCTTTTTTTTCGTCCTTATCTTATTCTATACTTGTTTCACTTCTCTCCCGTTCCTTTTCATACGTCGCGCTAACACACCACACGTGCCCCACCCCTTGAACCACACCCATTCCCGTCACCCATCCTTCACGATATTTAGGGGTATCCATTTCTCCATAAGCAGTTTTCAGCGGCAGCCAAAGCGCACCTCTCCATTTATGGGTAAATTATTCACTTCTATTGTCATCTCCCTACGCAGACATTGAAAGATAAACGCATATATGCACAAATATACGAACTCTTCTCCACGTGGTGAGATCAGCACGTGCACGTAGGATTGTGCAGAGAGAGAGAGAGAGAGAGAGCAGAGGGACAGAGAGAGAGAGTGTGTGCTTGGTACAAAACCAGATAGGTGAAATGAGGTTAAGATTATGTTACGTCAGACTTCCAGGTAGGAAGCGACATCCTGCCTTGTAAATCGACATTCGAAATCCTAGCTTTTACCAGGGCTCGACCAACGATTTCTAGCATCAATAAGAGCAAAAAGCAGCGGCCTCATCCACTAAACAGGAAATAATACCTGTATTCTATATAATCAAATAAGTTAAAAGCAAAAAAGTCATTTTCTTGCCGAAAACAGAAAAAGTGGCCTTACTTTCTGTATTGTGTTAACTAGAAATGAAAAACTTTAACAAAAAAAAAAACAAAACGAAAAAACTCCTACTTGTTTGAGTCATAAATAATTTCCGTTGTTTGGAAAGTCATTTTAATGAAGAATATACCACCCTAACTTTAACAATAAATGTGGAGTTGAAAGGTTATGGCATTCTGGACGAATTTTTATACTGATACAGTCTTTCTTATCAAATCGTGAAATGTATGTTGTCTTGAATGGCCACTCTTCTAGATCGTTTTGCATTAATGCAGGTGTTTCCCAGGGTGCTATTCTTGAACCTATGTTGTTTTTAAATTTCATAAATGGCCTTCCTGATGTCATCAGTTTTCACCTCGATATCTATATTGATGGCACAAGTATTTATTCCTGTCTTAATAGTAAGGCTGATCGGTCCCATAAGTTCAAATTGGTAGCTGATCTAAAATACAATAACCTACAATCTACTGATAAATGGGACAAGGAAGGAATGGCTTCTTAATTTTAACACCTCCTCCAAAACGAAACTACTCTCTTTTAATCGTCTAAGAGAACCCTTTTTACCTTCCACCACCATGGCTGATGCTAACCTCCAGAAGAGTGTTTCATTGCACCTTCTCGATCTAAAGTTTTCCGCTGACATGAAGTGGAAATAATATATTAAATCAATTGCTAAGTCTGCAGCTAGGAAAGTTGGTTCGCTATGTCAAGCTAGACAATTTTTCTCGCCAGGATATATCTTACATATCTATATGACTATCATTCGTTCTTGCTTTGAATATTGCTATCACATCTGGTCTAGAGATTCTTGATAAATCCAAATAAGAATCTGCAATGTTATTGGTCCTAACCTGGCATCTCGGCATCAATCACTTCCCGCCATTGTAACATAGCTTCCATGTACCTTTTTTTAAATAAATACTTTCATGGTAATTGTTCTGATGAATTTTCCTCTATAGTATCTAGACTTTATGAATTTAAGCGCACTTCATTGGCAGCTAGGTCTCATCATTTTACAGTTGAAATATTTAGATGTCATCGTAAGTTCTATGCTTACAGTTTCTTCTGTCTCAGTTCTCACTTGGGAATCTCTCTTCCGGCTTCTTGCTTCCCAATCAACTTTGACCGTCAAAAATGTAAATGCAATGTCAATCGTTATCTGTTTTCTTAATGTTCTTTTATTGTTCTCCTTCCTTAATAGTATATTCTTCTGATATTCTCTAACATTCAATAACCCCTTGCATCTTAGTGGATTTATTGATTTGCTTGGAGTGAAATGATTTTAAAAAGTACACGAACATGTCTCATTTTACCACGACAGTGAGAGCGTATACACTGAATTAAAGAAAAAATGTTCTTCTATGTGACAACGAAGGCCAGATGCAGCGAGAATAACGCAGGAAAAGATTCGGGGGCTAGCCTTGTCTGTTCTACCCTACCCGCCATATTCACCTGACCTTACACGAAACGATTATTGCCTTTATCGATCGATGCAAAACGCTTTAATGTGGAAAATTTTCTCTCATGAAAACTAAATTCAAGATGTGATCGTAAAGTTTTTCACATCGAAACCTTCTGGTGCTTACTCAAAGGTATTGAAAAACTGCCTGATAAGTAGCAACAATGCATTGCAAATACTGATTAATATAATTGAATAAAATATAATTGTACTTTTTGAAGAATAAAGCTCATAAACAAATACGGAAATTATTTATGACTCAACCTAACATATCGAAAACCCCTTTGATACAGTCAAATAGTTATATTGTATTAAATTATGAAGGGTAATTGAAACGATGATTCGCGGCGTGGTATAAGTGATAACGGCTCAGAATATGAAATCGGATGGCCGGGTTCGAATTCCAGTTGGGTTAGTTTCATTACCTTACGTGCAAATACATTTGAGAAAAGTCTGAATCCATCTCTTTTCCTCACAGGATACATGGGTTGAATAGCAGGACAGACTAGATTCTATATCCTTTCTACCGCAAAAAGGAAAGTCAGCCTACCGTGAGAAAATCTTCTGTCTAGTCAGTTATGATGATTTTCTAAGCGTGGCACAAGTGAGGATCAAACTCACTAGTCAGTCGTAATTGTTCTAACGAGACAAGCTTGTTAACCATTACACCATAACCATTCAGTTATGAATCGAAACGGATATCATCGCCCAAGCGTGTATCAACTGACTGAACTAAAACGAATTCTTCAGGCAACACTCTTATAAGTCCGACAGCAGGCCTTTGATCAGGAGGTTTTGAGGAGCGTGGAACCATCTCTTAATTCCTGTTGTTCCCAGGTCCACCCTGACCCGGGGTGGTAGCACCTGTTAGGGTCCCAGCTATGAGCAAATAGTTAACCCCGAAACTGGGATAAAAACACCATGAAAGTGTAAAAATAGGTTTTAATACAGGAAATACTTTGTAAAAAAATTATTACCAGCAATAAATTTTTTGGAAAAAATATTATCAGCAATAAAAATTTTATTGGCATTAAATAACCCATTGAGGTTGATATGTCGTAAAACAAAACAAAAGAACCAAACAAAGCAAATTTTAATGAGTCTAAGCTCACGTTGAAAAATCAAGCCTTAATCTGCGCTGTATATTTTCAATGAGATATTAATTAATAGGACTTCTTGATCAGTCGTCATAAAAAAGGATTGACAGAAATAGCGTTCAGCAATGACTGGCTCTACTTTGCAAGGACAGAAAAAACATTTCTGTTGTATTGTGTTGTTCTACGCCATATGATCAGTAGTCAACTTCTACCTGTCTCTAACTTTATTAACACTTTATTTATCTTCTCCTTAACATGTGCAAATAGGTTTAATCCTATTTACTAATCCACTACTATTTCTTGTGTGCGTAGATGTGGCACAAGGCCGAAAGTATGTGGCTCCCAGTTAGGACTGAATCACTATTTAGTCGTAATTGTTCTAGCGAGACAAGCTTGCTAACCATTACACCACCTCGAGGTGCCCGAATGATTTTCTAACTTAGATGTGGCACAAGACCGAAAGTCTGGGGCATCCAGTGAGGTTCGAACTCACTACTCAGTCGAAATTGTTCTAGCCTGACAAGCTTGCTGACCATTGCACTACGTTGAAGTTCCTTTGTGCTTATGCACGGAGATTAGACGTTTTTTTATAAGTGTATTAGTAAATATATCGATAGTATATGCACACCTTTACACAAACACAGAGAAGTACAGAAACACACAAATAAGTACACAAAAATACATATACACACTGATGCATACATTTAGAGAAACAAACATCCACATGACACTAAATAGAATTTAAAACGCTCATGGATTCTTCTATTTAATGTGTCTCTTCAGTAGGTGGGCGATTATGGCTGTCCACAACTTTCAACCCTTCATAGCTTTGTCACTTTACTATCACTTTCAATACTTCTTCTGTCATCCAATTACTCAAGCTAGTTTGGTGAGTTACTGTTTTCCACTGCCCCTCTTGCCTTCAATATGTACTGTTAGTACCAAATTTTTCAACCCTTTTTGCCTCTTTGTGTGCCCCAGAAATTTTAATTGTTTCTTTCTGATTCTAAGTTTGTCCTTTTTGTTTCCATTCTTCTTAAACATCCTTGTTACTTACATGCACCATCCATGGCCTTCTCAGCCAGC